CAGATATAACAAAGTTTATCAATTTCTTAAAAAACTTTTTAAAAAATATTTTGCATACTCTACAAAATTAATGTTTTCCCCATATAATTATTATTATAGGCAATCTTAACAATCAAGCTAAACAGTTAAACAATTTTATAAATTAATTTTTTTCTGTAAAAGTTTAAAAATATCTAATTAGCGAAAAGTATGTTACTTTAGTTAACCTACAGTTGGTAATACCGTAAATAATAGAGATACTGTATTAATACTGTTTGACATAATTATAGTAATTTATATTACAGTATCTAAGAATTCACAGTATCATATTAAATCAAATAAGATATCAAGTACAATGTACTTGTTGCATTTATTAGAAAGTTTGCAATGACATAATACTGAACATAATGTACAAAAAGATATCCAATAATGAGATTACATAGATTAGAGACTTATATACAATGAATTCAAATTAAAAATACAAACGATAAGTTAAATTTAAAAAATTTATTTTATGAAATATAATTTACTGCGCTACTACACAAATCAAAAATCAAATGAATTTAATTTGTCTCTGGTAAATAAGCTCCTTATAACATATTTAATAATCCATTTTCACATTTTAAAAGTTTAACAAGTAACTATTAATAGTTAATACAGTAGTTTATAAACGTTCCTATTTGTACCAGCCCATTGTTTTTTTGATAATACACTGTACTATTGATATATATTAGGTCAGTGTAATTACTTGTGAATTACAGGTCCGGGATAAGTTAACATTATGGCACATTTAGGGACATGTGTAGTTTGTTAGGGTACATTTAATGACTAATGTTTTATGAGCTGACTTCAAGAATTTGTTATATCATGATTAGATTAATAATATAATTAGATAATAATAAAGTGTGCAATTTTGAAACAAAGGTTTTGACGCTACTTATAGTTTTGCTGCAAAGAATATAATTTTTATCTTTAAAAACTATTTAATATATTTTTATTAATAAAAAAATTTAAAACTTTAAAAATTTAAAACGAATTTTTATTTATATTAAATTAATTTAATGATTTGTTATTTTATTATACATTAATTATTATTTATATACGAATTATCTATTAAATATGTACGAAATATCAAAATAATATTATACATATCACATGTTATTATAATATTTTGGGAACATTAAATAATGGTTGAAATAGACTCTGGGTAATGATATTAGTTACAGTATTTGCTATAATATTATATATCACATATTAACAATATTACATTTGTATATTTTCAGATAATTAATTAATTGTCGTTTTTTGTACACCTGGATAAAATTATACATTTAATTAATTTCGCAATTGTTCTTGCTAAAAATACTTACGCACTAGTATCACAATTTAATAAACACATTGAAAAACTAAAATATAAATCATATAAACTTTTTACGTCATTTTAAAAAATATAAAAATATAATACAGTAACACAATATTGCACTCAAAAAACAAAAATCAATTATATATTTACTACAAAAATACTAATGAAATAAAGAATTATCTAAATTAAAAAACTATAAAGTTTATAAAATGTTTAGACTTAACGGAAATAATATGCATAAATTGCTTAAAATTTTAAATATCATCTCATTTGTGGTGTTGATGTCTATAATACTTGTATTGATTAACAGTAAGAATCAACAGTTATTTATATTACAAACCGATGGCATTAATGATAATCTCGATGACTATAATGAATTTATGAAACCTAACAAAAGTGACCTAGACATTCCGCAACATACTGCTATAAATAGTATGCAACAACGACCCAGGTTATTATGTCTGGTGACTACGACCCCTGATTATCACGACACGAAAGCAATCGCCGTAAACGAGACGTGGGGTAAAAGATGTGACACTTTATTGTATGTGAGTTCCCAGACCTATGATGGCCTGGATGTAATCAAAAGCAACTGTAGTATAGAGAATCATGACTACCTATGGTGTAAGAATCGCCAGGGTCTGGTTGAGGCCCACCGGCGCTATAACGGGTCGTATGACTGGCTTTTTAAGGCCGACGACGACACGTATGTTGTGATCGAAAACTTATTACATTTAGTGTCCGGACATAACCCGTCGGAAGCCATTTGGTTTGGACAGGCATTTCACGAACCAATAAGAAATATTACCTTTTTCACCGGGGGTAATTAGCTATATATATATTTTGCTATATTATTCTAGCTGTTTCTAATTGCTTTTGCTATATAATCTTTTTTATATTACTTATATTGAGATATTACTAATAATTTATTCAATTTCTTTCAGGTCCAGGATATGTAAGTGTAAAATGCCTACAATTATGATAATTACTATTTTTTAAACATGCTAGTTTATTGTTAAAACGAGAGTAATTTTTGCAATATTTTTGTTTTAATAAATGATTTAAATTTAGATTTTTAGCGCTGAAGCCGTGAACCGATTGGTGACATCGTTTGAGACCAAAAGAAAATACTGCGATATAAGCGAGGAAAAGGGCCCTGATGATGTCTATTTCGCAGCGTAAGCCACGCCACGTATCATGTTACTTATGATTTTTGTTTAATTACATTTTGACCCTGGTGCAAATGCAGTTGTCTGGAGGGGAGTGGGACAGTGATGGGCGATGATAGGGACTCGTTGGGTGAGCCCAGGTTTTTTCACTTCGCGCCGGACGCTATGCTCAATCCCCACGATACCGTCTATCACAAAAAGGCCTGGCTCAAGAACTATGCCACCTATAATTTTTCAACCGTAAGTTAATGAGTAATTTTTATTTAATTATTATTCAAAACAAAATTAATAGTTTTATGATATAATTTTTTATATTGGATAGGGTATGCAGTGTTGTAGCTCAAGCACAGTATCGTTTCATTACGTAACCCCTGATTACATGTATGTCTTGGAGTTTTTGTTATATAAACTTAAAGTACAGGGAATTGATTGAAAATTATTATTAATAATAAGTTATTATTATTATTCACATGTCTACGTGTTTTTGCAATAAATTCACATTGAGCAATGACAATTAATTAATCTTAACCATTGCTAAATGTGTTAAGTACTAGAATTGAATTATATTACTAAAACTTTTGTTTTTAATTTTAATTTTTATTTCAGAAAATTATTACGTATTAATATTTATTTAATTGCTATAAAATTATTAATGATTAATTTCTTAAATAATGTACTTTATTGAAATTAAACACTATCCAATGGCATTAATTAAAGTAATATTTCAGTACAAAATATTTTATTAAATTTACCCATGAGATGGTCAATAAGTAATTCACTATACATATGCTATTGTTATTGAAATATGATTGATTATATAATTATGTTTAATTATAATATACATGTATATTAATTGAGCTAATTCATACTGTACTAAATTTGCTCATGTAATATGATGATAATATACGACCACCACTACAATAAAAATTTAAACTATCTTTTATTTTATCAAATTAATAATTCTGTGTTTGATATGAAATATTGAACTAGGATCAAAGTGATCAATGTC